GATCTCATTGCAGGGCGCGCACGAAATCCCGGCTATAATTGAATGTTTTCTTTGAGGTTTTCTGACCATGTGCTTTTTTTTTTTTTTTACCATGGTTACTATGACTCTGATAGGAGAAGCTGGATCTTTATTATAATCCGGTCCCAAACTTTCACCAAGGCTTATCTCCCTGGCCTTTATAAAGGAGGGAACTATAAAGAGGAAATTTTGTGCCAGTGATTTTAACCTGGTCCACCTTCAAGTGACCTGCCACATGCTCCTTCTTACTTTATAGACATCTGGGAATTCCATACATGCTTTAAACTCCAATTACACACCTTCTTCAAAGGACACGTGCTTTGATTTGCTAAGAACATTAAGTGGGCTCACGTCCTGGGGCCTTGAGACAAAAGAGAATGGAAAATGTATCTCATGCCTTGTTTATGGGTCTGTTCTTTGCTGTCCAGTAAATAAGGGTAATTAATAATCCTTCTGTTAGCATTTTCGAAGGCTCGGTTTGAAAAAAAGTGTTCCTGAGAAACAGTGGGGTTTTCGGCTTTGAGAAATTATGAGGAAGTGGACTTATCCTTGCACTTTACCGGTGCACTTTCCTTCACTTTCTCTGGTGCTGGGGGTGGGGCAAGCTTTATGACGCATGAACAGAATATTCTGGAAAAGTGGCCCCCGGGGATCCTCCTCCCGACCCCTTTCGTCGCTAATGCGGGCTTGTCCCTGGAAATCTAACGTTGGGCCTTTGCCTGAATCTGTTGCTGTTGCTGCCCGGCTACTGCTGACACTTGGCGCCACCGCCTCCCAGCAGCGGCCAGAAGCGAGGCTCCGGGCCGTCACGACGTTCGAGGAGGGCACGAACACTGTCATTCCCCCCACTGTGCAGGCCAGGCCCGCCACCCACGCAGGGGAGCCTGGCCCCGCGCCCCTCCTCCCGCGCCCGCCGCAGGTGAGACCCCCGCTCCCCACGGAGTTCTGTTTGGGTTTCCGTGGCATTTGTTCCCCCGCAGGTTTGTTTGTTTTTCTTCAAATTACAGATGCAGGGAAAACCGCCTGACATCATGAGAGCGGGACAGACGCTCACTTTGAAGGATTCCTGGGCAGGACTTCAAGTGAAATCATATGCTTGAGAAGAACTTGATACCGGTCTAGAGAAAATAACCAGTTCTGAGTCTGCCAAACCGTGGAATGTGCAAAATGCTCTACTTTTTTGCAAGAGGCCAAGTGTCCCTTAAAAAGCCCTATTATGAATATGAACCTGAAGGCCGAAGGAACAAGAAGCTTGTGCCGTCGTTGAATGTGGGAAAAAAGTACAGAGGTTGTGTGAGTTTCTGCCATTTAACATTATTTTATTAATAATATGTTCCGCTTGGGGGGTTACCTGCAACTGTGCATTAATTATAATCTGTGCATGTGCTTAGCAAGTGTGTGCACAAAAAAGGGAAATACATGTATATAAGAACAAAAACGTACTGTTTTGTTATGACTGAAGGCTATCAATTGAACAAAATTAAAAACAAGATAAAAATAGTATGTCCACAGTAAAGGAAACATTCTTACTCAATTTTCTAGAATTTACCAAAGACAATTTACCTTCCCCCAATGAATGTATTCTGGCTGAAGGGCCAAGACCTGGGGTCCAGGCACCACATTAAATGTAAAAGTTCAGCTTCTCATTTCTGAAACAGTGGTAATTCATTCTATGTGTCCTTAAAATAAGTGTAGGTAGTAAAAATAAAATAAAATGGAAACAGGAAAGATAAATGGTGGAAGGAAAGAAACACAGGTGGCTTAATTTCTATTTTAAGAAGAATTAGCATTTTACTTCATGTGTATGGGACAGTGTTTGGGAATACAGAAATTGTCTGCAAATTTAAAATTGAATTCTAGCAGTTAATACTTTAAACTGGGCATTCTTATCAAACCAAAACTATTCACTACCTTTCTTTCCTTCCTTTAATTCTCTGAAAATTTGGGGGAAAATACTACCTTCACTCTAGGATTTAGCATTACTCACACAAATGTCATTTGCTTTTCTCCAAGGTGTTTCCTCTTATGAAAAAAGTGGAAAGAACAAAATCCTCCCCCTCTCGCCCAATAAAAAAGCAAACGCAAGGCTACCTTTCTTTGAAACCTCTAATTTTTACATCATCAGAGTTAAGACAGAAATTACCTTTTCAGCAATGATGGTCAGCTCCATCCTGGTGTACGTCAAGAAATCTGAAATATCAAATAGTCAGACCAAACTGTAGTGAACAAAGCGATTTCTTTTATGAACAATTTAGAAAATGGAGGTATGTGGAAGACGTACATGAAAAAGAAAATTACATCTCAATCCTCTCCCTCTTCCTTCTAGGGTACCCTCCTTCTACTTCTGTTCTACACACACACACACTCACAAACACAAATATACCCACAACACAAATATACCCATATATAATCACTTTCCCTTCTCATTATTTGGTAAAGGACTATCAAAATCCAAAAAACAATTCCCCCAAGCTCTCACTAATCTTTTAAGTGCTGCAGGCTCCTTATTGTAAAATATGGTCTAAAATATGCACAATAATCAATTTACAATATTGTTATGTCAGCATTCTGTGGTGATGTGTGGAAAAGGAAACAGAAACCTTTAGGCAATAAAACAATCTCAACCTGAGCTGAGGAAACACATTCTGTTTGGGTACATATACTTGTCATAGTCATTGTCTGAATTAGGCAGTAAAATAATTTTCCAGTTTGAAAGCTTCTTTGATTACATTTGAGTGCAGTACACTAAATGAAAGTTAAGAGCTAATTGATGCCAACATCACTATTTCTAATTACATTAATTACAAAAGCCAGTGTTTTTCTGGCCCAGAAATAACCAGCAGGAAATAAAAATCAAGCACCAATTGTCCGTTACTGTTTTTTCATAACTTCAAAATCAGATTTTGTGTACATATAAGTATTCAGAGGAAAATTCTGTGTAATTTTGGATAAAAATACATTTGCCAGTGAGCTGATTAGAAACTGAATCACTGTACCACTTAAACTTTCAACTGTTCTGACATTTACCGAAGATATTGAAAGTCCAGTTTCTTTGTTTATTGTGATTTACTCCATGGGCAGAAAGAGCATGCTTCCCAAATGGACAGCATTAGTATGGAAAATAATCTCAACTCTGGTCTTTGGTTTTTCTTTTTAGCATACCCGACACTCAGTCATTTTCATTCACAAAAATATTTTAAGTAAATTGCTTTATAAATAGAATTGTTTTCCCGGCTGAATTAAACTTCATTATTTTCCATGCATTTGTATTCATTCATATGTGTGTATAACTAGATAAGCAGGTAGGTAAATATTTTATGTACCTTGTCACTGAAATGAACTTATTATTCAAAAGTCCTTACAAAGTCTGGAGAGCATGACACAAATATACAGTAACAAGAGAAAGTAGTGGTTTCATACTGCTTATTTACATTTAACTGTTTTACAACTACCACCCCCAAAAAGAAGTGAATCACAAATTTGTCAAGTTTTTGTTGTTGATGGATTTGATACATAAGAAATGAAGAAGAGATGCTACCAAGCCCACTGACTGAACACCAAACTGGAATAATAATAAAGCTGTCTTTTAAAATAACATGCCTGTGTCTGTCAGTAGCTAGTTCGAGTTTTTCACTGCTTTGTTTAGATTAGTGCCCCCTCCAGCCTGTTGCCTCTAGAATTAAACAAGCAGGTATTTGCCTCTAATTTAACCCTAAGTTTTAAAATTATAGACCAAACTCTAAGGTTCTTAAATTTTTCAATCATATTTATTTATTGCAGAAAAATAATATACAAAGATATTTACAAAACAATCAAAAATATGAATGCATTTAGACACCGGATCTATTTGCATTTACCGTGGGTCATCAATAAATAAATAGAATGTTGTTTTTTGTATTTTTTTTCCCCTCAGAGGAAGAATGAAAAAAGGAATTGACTGACTATGATTTTGCAAGTCAGTATGATCCCAGAATTTTTTATTTCTAAAGATGTTCTTAAAATTTCCTCTGATTGTTACCATTTTAAAATGGAGAAAAGTCCATAATGATGCCTTTCCTTTCAATGGCTGATTGGCACAACCTCTTGCGAATGCATGCATGAAAAAATAAAAACATTCTTCGTCAAAAAAACAAAACAAAACAAAACACAACACAACTGTTCAGGCTTCTATCAGAATGTAGAGGTGTGAGGATGGTGCCGCTGCCCGTCTGGGAATCACTGTCCACGGGCCTGTCTCGCTTACTCTGTTAAAAGTGCGCCCCACGCCCTGTTTCTTTGAATTTGGGTTCTGCTCTTCTAATTTCCAAGAAAATCTTTGGCATGTATATATATTTTTAGTTATCCAGCTCCAGAGTCTCTAGACTGTCCATTTTCTCCTTCTCTGGAAACAATGACATCTGCAAAAACCCAGAGGGGGGGAAAGTTGGTTATTGTTTAGGTCTCTGGCTGTTTCTAAGACTACTTAGCACTGTTCTTATCACCACCACAGAAAAATTACGTTGAACAACCTGGAAGGATTTCAGGCCAAGGGCAAGAGGAAGTGGGTGGGCGGAAAAAAGGAGGAGGTGGAATTTGAAAACATTTGTTTTAAGGACAAAATTTTAAAGCCGAAAGAAAGGGAAGTCCTGGCAACACTGTCCTTACCCGTAGTCCTTGAGTCTGTCTTCCCTTCTGTCTTTCACGTACATTCACGCACATACACACCCCTCACAAGGGCGCATGCCCCTGGGGACCTCTCCCTAGCGGGTACTGAACTGCCTTCCAAGGTCTCGGGGGAGAGGGAGGGAGTAAGGTGGCGGTACAGGTTGGGTGGGGATGGCTGAGAAGGTAGCGGGAGAGAGAGGTAGGCGACGCGGCGGACAGGAGGACCGCGGCCTGGACGTCCGTCCGTCTGCCTGCCACCTGAGCGGCGAAGAGGGCTCAGAGGCGCCGGTCCTTACCTAGGTCTCCGGCCCTGCCGAGGGGGTGGGGGACTCCGTCTGCTAGTGGGACGCGGACATGGACCAGGCCCCCTCCATCCTCCAGACCGAGAAGGCGTAGCTGAGCCGCTCGTGGGCTACGTAGCTGCAGCTTGCCATCTTGGAGTCCAGCTCGTCGCTCTGGAGAACCTGGTATAAGAAGTCGATGTACCTGGCCGCCAGCTTGAGGGTCTGGATCTTACTCAGCTTGTCCGAGGGCAGCGTGGGGATGATCTTCCGCAGAGCAGCGAACGCCTCATTTAGTGACTGCGTGCGCTGGCGCTCCCGCACGTTAGCCATGACCCGCTGCGTCTGCAGCTCCTCGT